AATTTGGTAGGCAAGTTTGAAAAAAATTCCGACAGCTGCTCCCAAGTACCCATAAAAATGGCTACTGGGATACACAGTTTACTGGGGGTGTGCGTGAGGGCCTCTTCAAATAGCCAGCGAGAGAGAACAGTTTCATTAAACCTTTAATAAGTCCAAAGAAAGGTGCTTCTAATCTCCATAGATGGAGCTGAAAAAGCTAGTGCAAAGCATCTTTGTGTCCTACATGACCCAAGGCTGGAAGCAGCACTGGTAGAAGCTGCAGGCTGATCCTCCAGGTTGGTGCTATAAAAGGGGTGGGGTGTTTTTTTAAATTACATTTTCTTAACCTGAAGGCTTTAAAGCAAGCCATCCCTGACTTATCTAGCTTGCACGACCTTTGAGGATACATTAATTCATCCTCAAAGGTCATACCACTGGAGTCGGTTTTTAACTGCTTACATGTACCTGGCGTTTCCATTAAAATATTTTGCAAGAATAGAAGGTAAAGGATTTAATCTGATTGCCTCTGTTGTAAACCTTTGAAACCAGTTTCTCCACAATGCCTACAGTTAGAGATTAGGGCTTGATTACTAACTGCTTTTTCTGGATATGTCAAGACTATGTACATAACCTAAATATTGGTTCTTTTAAAGCGGAACTCCAGCCAAAATGAGACTGTTTTTAAATTGCATAGTGTTAATTGTACTGTGCCCTTTCATGTGGTTTTTAGTGCTTGGATCAGAATTTCTGAAGTACCTGGAGGCATTTAAACCTTTTCTCGCCATTGGCCTCAAGAACTATGCAGAGTATCAGGTGAGATCTTGTTTCACTATTTTTTTCTATTGTGGGTGTATATTGTGTTCTGCCTTATCGGTGTGTGTGATGGTACCAGTTGGTCCTACAGTCAGTGTACCCCCCCTAACCCATAATGTCTTCCTCCCCTATTGAATGCTAGTTGTTTCTAACACTAACTCAGGCAGTGTGCTTGTTCCTTGCTCTAAGTGACCTGGCCTGAAACCTTTACAGATCCTTATAATGTAAAGCGCTGCACAAACTGTTGGCGCTATATAAATAATAATGCTGAAGTGTAAAACATTGTGTCGATCTTCAATTCCTGTTGAGCTCCTAGGATTAAATGCCTAGACTGATACATGAAGCCCTGTCATTCAGCAACTCAGTCATAGTAACAGCTGAATGACAGAGATTGCTCTTACAGCGGTAAAGTGACTTTTGGGGGGGCGAGGAGGAGCGGGCATGATGTACTAGTATGTACAGCATATTGGCACATTATGGCAGATTTACCTGCCCCACATTCCTCCCTTTCTGGCGCTTACATCTACAGCTGTCTTCTGGGTTTGGTGTCTTTGGCCTCTTGATTGGCCATCATATAGTATCTCCCGCACATGTGCAGCTCGGCATACAGTCTCTTTTGCTATAAAGTCTACCGATCAGTGTTTTTTATTTTTTTTTTTTTTTTAAATTTTAACGAAGTAAGAAAGATTTAGTTTTAAAATGCAACTACAGTATTAAACCAGGTAGCACAGCGGCTTGGTGGTAAGCATTTTTGCCATGCAGTCCCTCGGTGTAAATCCGTGCCTGGTCACTATTGGGTTTGCTCCACGTACCACAGTTTTCTCCCACGCTCCAAAAACATGCTGGTGGGTGAATTGGTCATAGTGTATGTGATGTAGGGACCTTTTTTTTCCCCCCAAAGTCATCTTTCAGGGCAGCGCCTGAGAGAGAGGATCCACCCACCTAAAACAGGACACATCATCCACAATTAAAATAAAAGGTGTTACAGCCCCACCACCTCAGTTTATAGTGTTTCCTCCGGCCTAACAGGGTCATTTCAACCGTTTTGTTATTTTGTCCATAGGCCTGCATGCTAGTTGCAGGGGCCTCCCAGTGTGTGCTCACCTCTGAATTGGGGACAGTGGACCTGGGGGGTTGCATGCCTGGGCTTGTCCTAGGATTAACCTCCATGTTATCCTATTATGGGACCCTCCCTCCCCATCTATCCCTGAGGTTTCTTATCCAACTTGAGGAAAAGCAACCATCCCCGGGTGTATATGGGCTCTAGCAGAGCTTTCCCTTACTCACATTTGGTTCGGCTCAGAGTTCTCCTCTGCATTTCCTTGAATGGGGCGGTTTGCCATTCATGCTCCCTATGTATGCTGCCATGTTGTGGATACTGATATCCTGTAGCATTCATGGCCTCCTTGAATGGACAGCTATGCGATGCAGTGGTGAGTACCCCTGGATAGTGAGCTCCTTGGAGTTTGATTAAAAATCAACTCTTCCCCTCTAATGCGATTTTTTTTTTTTTTTTTTTTTTTTTTTTTTTTTAAAAATTTTGGTTTTTTTTTGCCCCTACACCT